CTCAGATGCACTGGCCAGGTAGACAGGAAAAGCCCCGCGAACGTTTGAATTTCATTTCCTGTTTGCTCAGCGTGGAGAGCACAGGTGACCATGCAGAGCCCATCAGCACAGGTAACCGTGATGGAGTCCCAGTCCCAGTCCCAGGATCGCAGAAGAGCTCCAGCCTGGACCGAACGGGAGGTACAGGATCTGATCGCCATCTGGGGAGATGAAGCAGTGCTCGCCGAACTCCGAAACAGTAAAAGAAACGGCAAAACATTAGAAAAGATCTCCAAGGCCATGAAGGACAGAGGCCATAACAGGGACGCGCGGCAGTGCCGCGTGAAAATTAAGGAGCTAAGGCAAGCCTACCACAAAGTCAGAGACGCAAACGGAAGGTCCGGGGCAGAGCCGCAAACATGCCGCTACTACGCGGAGCTGCATGCCATTCTAGGGGGTGCAGCCACCACTAGCCCAAGCGTGTTCTATGAGTCCCTCTCTGCAAACGGGGAAGCGGGTTCGGCGGACGAGGAAGATGAGGATGGAGAGAACATAGATAGCTCACAGCAGCAAGGAAGCGGAGAAACCAGTTACCCCAACAGCCAGGATATGTTTGTCACCCTGGACCTGGAAACAGTAACCCCCGAACTGACCCAAGACCCTGAGGGCACACAGGGGACCTCTGGTGAGTGTACCTTTGTAAATATTACACATGGCTTAAAAACAAGCGTGTTTAATGATTAATGATTAATTTGCCCTGGCAATCGCGGCCAGTACAGCTACTGGAAAAGTCTGTTAACGTGTATGGGGATGGAGCGGAAATCCTCCAGGGACATCTCTAGAAAGCTCTCCTTCATGTAATCCCAAAGCCTTTGCAAAAGGTTTCTGGGGAGGGCTGCCTTATCCCGTCCGCCATGGTAGGACACTTTACCACGCCAGGCCAGTAGCACGTAGTCTGGAATCATTGCATAACAAAGCATGGCAGCGTATGGTCCCGGTGTTTGCTGGCATGCAGACAACATCCATTCCTTATCACTCTTTGTTATCCTCAGGAGAGTGATATCATTCACGGTCACCTGGTTAAAATGGGGCAATTTTATTAAGGGGACATTCAGAGGTGCCCCTTCCTGGTCTGCTGAACAGAAATATTCCCCGCTGTTAACCACGCGGTGGGGGGGAGGGTTGAAGTGACCATCCCAGAGAATTGGGTGTGAGGGGGAGGGGAGTTAGTTGGGTTTGTGCTGCATGTTAAACCTGAAATCGCAGCCCCTCCTTTTACATTGCAAACCCATTTTAAATGGCACGGGTGCTTGGTATGGGAAATGAGGGCAGAACTGTTTGAAACCATCCCCACATGTTAAGAAGGTTAAAAAAGCCCAAAGACTATATGTCTTACCATGGCTGCCTGCAAGCTGAAATCTGTGTCCTGGCACTGCGTGAGTGATCTCTCACACCAAACCAGGAGACTCTCAATATAAGAGGAAAAATGCGACCTTGTAACGAAAGCACATGTGCTGTGTGATGTTGTGAACAGCAAAATCTAACGTGAAAGAGTCTACCCATTGTTCTCTAAAATGTATCTTTTTTAACAACCTCTCCCTTCTCCACCAGCTGCAAATCTTACTCCTTCGCAGAGGCTAGTGAATATTCGAAGAAGGAAGCGAAGGACGCGTGACGAAATGTTTACTGAACTTCAGACTGCCTCCCACGCTGACAGAGCACAGCTGAATGCGTGGAGGCAGTCAATGACTGATTTTAAAAAAGCCCAATATGAGCGAGAGGAGAGGTGGCGTGCTGAATCGCGGGCTGAAGAGGAGAAGTTGCGTGCTGAAACGCGGGCTGAAGAGGAGAGGTGGCGTCAACTTGTAATCAGAAAGCAAGAGTCGATGCTCCGGCTGCTGGAGCATCAAAGTGATATGCTCCTGCGTATGGTTGAGCTGCAGGAAAGGCAGCAGGAGCAGAGACCGCCGCTACAGCCCCTCTGTAACCAGCAGCCATCCTCCCCAAGTCCCATTGCCTCCTCACCCAGACGCCCAAGAACACGGTGGGGGGGCCTTCGGCCACCCACTCACTCCACCCTAGATGATTTCCATAGCAATAAGTTTTAAAGTTTTAAATTGGAGTGTGTCCTTTTCCTTCCCTCCTCCCCCACCCATCCCGGGCTACCTTTCCAATTATCCCCCTAGTTGTGTGCTGAATTAATAAAGAATGCATGAATGTGAAGCAACAATGACTTTATTGCCTCTGCAAGTGGTGCTCGAAGGGGGGAGGGTAGTGGGGGAGGGTGGGGTGGTTGGTTTGCAGGGAAGTAGAGTTAACAGGGTGGTGGGGGAGGGGCAGAGGGTTCATCAAGGAGCAACAAACAGAAGTTTCACTCCGTAGCCTGGCCAGTCACAAAACTGGTTTTCAACGCTTCTCTGATGCGCACCGCGCCCTGCTGTGCTCCTCTAACCGCCCTGGTGTCTGGCTGCGCGTAATCAGCGGCCAGGCGATTTGCCTCAACCTCCCACCCCGCCATAAATGTCTCCCCCTTACTTTCACATATATTGTGGAGCGCACAGCAAGTAGCAATAACAATGGGGAGATTCTTTTCGTTAAGGTCTGAGCGAGTCAGTAAGCTGCGCCAGCGCGCTTTTAAACGGCCAAATGCACATTCCACCACCATTCGGCACTTGCTCAGCCTGTAGTTGAACAGGTCCTGACTGCTGTCCAGGCTGCCTGTGTATGGCTTCATGAGCCATGGCATTAAGGGGTAGGCTGGGTCCCCAAGGATCACGATAGGCATTTCAACATCCCCAACTGTTATTTTCTGGTCTGGGAAGAAAGTCCCTTCCTCCAGCTTTCGAAACAGAAGAGACTGCCTGAAGACGCGAGCATCATGTACTCTTCCCGGCCAGCCCACGTTGATGTCGGTGAAACGTCCCTTGTGATCCACCAGGGCTTGCAGCAGCATTGAAAAGTACCCCTTGCGGTTTATGTAGTCGGTGGCTTGGTGCGCCGGTGCCAAGATAGGGATATGGGTTCCGTCTATCGCCCCACCACAGTTTGGGAATCCCATTGCAGCAAAGCCATCCACTATGGTCTGCACGTTTCCCAGAGTCACTACCCTTGATATCACCAGGTCTCTCATTGCCCTGGCAACTTGGATCACAGCAGCCCCCACAGTAGATTTGCCCACTCCAAATTGATTCCCGACTGACCGGTAGCTGTCTGGCGTTGCAAGCTTCCACAGGGCTATCGCCACTCGCTTCTCCACTGTGAGGGCTGCTCTCATCCTGGTATTCTGGCGCTTCAGGGCAGGGGAAAGCAAGTCACAAAGTTCCATGAAAGTGCCCTTACGCATGCGAAAGTTTCGCAGCCACTGGGCATCGTCCCAGACCTGCAACACGATGCGGTCCCACCACTCTGTGCTTGTTTCCCGGGCCCAGAATCGGCGGTCCACGGCATGAACCTGCCCCAGTAACACCAAGATTTCCACATTGCTGGGGCCTGTGCCTTGTGAGAGGTCCATGTCAATTTCCTCATCACTATCGTCGCCGCGCTGCAATCGCCTCCTCCTCAGCTGGTCCTGGTTTGGCTTTGGCATGTCCAGGAGGCTCTGCATGTTTTCCAGGACAATGCGCGTGGTGTTCATAGTGCTCAGAATTGCCGCGGTGATCTGAGCGGGCTCCATGATCCCAGTGCTGGCTATGGCGTCTGGTCTGAAAAAAGGCGCGAAAGTAGTATCTGACGGACCAGGGGAAGAAGGGAGGGAGGGAGAGAGGGAGGGAGGGGCGAGTGACACCGCGTACAGGTACAGGGAATTAAAATCAAGAAAGGTGGCTTTGCATCAGGGAGAAACACAAACAACTGTCACACAGAATGCCCCCCCCCCCAAAGATTGAACTCAAAAGCCTGGGTTTAGCAGGAGGGAGGGGGGAAGCAAATGAATGGAGAATAAATCTATTTTTTACATCTTAAGACGACGGCGCAGCATGACTGATAGCCCTTGGCATTTTCTGGGTGCTTGGCAGCAAATACTGGGCGCTTGGCAGTAAGCCTTCAGGTCTATTGCACGATCTGATGCCCACTGCAGTATGACAACGATGGATACCAGTCGTAATATACTATCTTCTGCCCAAAAGGCAAGGGGTTGCTGCTGTATAGCAATGTTGCCCCATCCTGCGAATAATACATCTGATAACCATCATCATCAAGGCAAGGGGGCTGGTGCAATGCAGCCCCACGGCTGCCAGCCCCATGTCTGCCAGCACCCAGATAGCCCTCGGCCTCTTCTGGGTGCTTAGCAGACAATATTGGGCACTTGGCAGAAAATAGCATACTACGACTGATAACCATCATTGTCTGCCCGGGTGCCCATGATCGACAGCCACTGCAGTACGATGACGACGGTTACCAGTTGTAATATACCATCTTCTACCAAAAGGCAAGGGGCTGGTGCAATGCAGCCCTACGGCTGCCAGCCCCACAGCTGCCAGCACCCAGATCGCCAATGAAGGCTACCAGTCATGCTGCACCGTCTACCGCCAAAAGGCAGTAAGCTGCTGCTGCTGTTTAGCAATGCAGTCCCACGTTTGCCGGCACCCGGAAGAGATATGGTGACGGTGAGCTGAGCTGAGCGGGCTCAATGCTTGGCGTGGTATGTTGTCTGCACAGGTAACCCAGGTAAAAAGGCGCGAATCTATTGTCTGCCGTTGCTGTGACGGCGGGGGAGGGGCCTGACGCAATGTACCCAGAACCCCTCGCGGCACTGCTTTGCATCATCCGGGCATTGCGATCTCAACCCATAATTCCAATGGGCGCCGGAGGCTCCGGGAACTGTGGGATAGGTACCATAGTGCAATGCGCCGGAAGTCGACGCTAGCCTCGGTACTGTGGACGCGGTCCGCCGACTTCATGCACTTAGAGCATTTTAGGTGGGGACACACACAATCGGCTGCATACAACCGGTTTCTATAAAACCGGCTTCTATAAATCCGACCTAATTCTGTAGTGTAGACATAGCCTTAGACTCAGCCCAGAGGGGTCACTGCAGAAGTTATCATGGCAGCTTCCAGGAAAAGGGAACATATAAATAAACCACAAAACAGTGAGAATGAGCCAAAAGGGTCTCTGGGGTCCATTTCCCCCTGCCATGAGGGAACAGTCTGGCCCCAGCTCCTTGCTGAAAGGCAGCCAGTCTCTGGGCTCCTTGCAACACGAAGGCTAGTCTCTGGGCTTCTCCCTGCATGGCAGAATGAGTCCCGTCTCATTCATATGCAACAGGGGCTGGGGAGGAGCTGGGCATCTCCAAGGTAGTGCATGCTTTAGACCTCACTCTCCGTGGAGGGCTTGCATTGGTGTTTCCAGCCTGTGTCTGGGAGTGAGCCGCGTCGTTCCGGGGTGGCTGCTGCCGTGTTGACACTGCTGCACTCAGACTGCTCCTCCTGCAGCAGCTGCTCAGTTTCGGTGTCATCCAGCGAGCCAGAGCTGGCCTGGATAGAGACAGTGTCAGTCTTCATGCAGACATGGTCCCGGAGTATCCCTCCCCGGGAGCTCCGTATCTGCTTGATATCATCCCACTCAGACTCGTCACCGGACAAGAGACATATCCCTTCCACAATCTTGATCTTTTCCTTGGTGTAGCAATGATCATGACCAGCCTAGCAGGGAGACAACAGAATGCAAATACCCACAGAGCATCAGTCACTTCTAGCCAAAGAACAAAGCAGCGACTGGAATGAGGACAGGCAAAGAAGCAAGCAAAGGGATGGCCCTCAATGAAAAGAGTAACTGGTTGCTACCATCAGGACAGGAGAGTCCATTCTAGGCTCCCCCTTCACAATGCTCAGCCTAGCACACCAGCCCTCCCCAAAGGAATACCCATTCCAATCTCCAGGCTCCTTCAATCCATGGAAAAAGGTGAGGGAAGATGGCTCTTCTGCTTCACTTGGACAAATGGAGCCAATGCTATTTGGGGGCAGGAATAATACTAGAGCCAGAACCTGAATAGGAAGGAGAAACCTGGGAAGCAGGAACAGCCAAGAGAGACTCGAGGGCAATAGGCAGGAAATCAGGTAGGGGTTTGCAATGGGATAAGGCCGCTAAAAAGGTTAATCAGTTTGGGAGATGCATATGCAGTGGCTTTATATCGCAAACCAGGGAGAAGCAAGTTGCCCTCTATACACATCTTGAGACAGCTCACCTGGACTACTGTGTTGGGTTTGAGCACCTCATTGCAACGAAAATAGTGGAGGAAGTATAGAGAAGAACAACAGAAATGATCAGAGGGCTAGAGGGACAAAGTTATGAGCAGAGATTAAGAGTGAATTCTGTCTAGCTTGGCTCAGTGATGAGTAAAGAGGCATGGGTGTAGACATCTGATAGGTGTTTGTAACACACACACACACCCCCGAGGAGAGAAGAATTGTGTGTGTGTGTGACACGTGGGTATATCTAAGCAATGGGACTAAGAAAAAAAAAAGGGAAAGATTTAGAGTGAATCTCAGGTAAACCATTCTGACAGTGGGGTATTGGAGGCTGGGAAATACAGAGGAAAGGTTGGGGGATCTATTTCTTGGGGCATTTAAAACAATACCACTAAAAATTGTCCTATATGGAACAATCCTATCCTGGCCCCTGGGAAAGGGAGTCAGTGGTAGAACAGGCCATATCCATCTCCAGGGTCTACAAGAATCATAACAAAACGCCCCCAGGTAAATTATTTTCTTTAAGTAGCATAAACTGCAAACCCTTAGCCACACAACCAAAGGACCTGTGCTAGAAAATTCCCTTTCCATCCCCAGCCCAGGGAGGTAGTTGAGCTAGTTCAAAGGCACAGAACACAGACACATGGGAAGCCAGCCGAGCAGCAATTAGTACATGACAGTGTTAGAGCCTTTCAGTGCTGCAGGAGTGAGGGAGGTGGGGGTCACTCACACATACACATACCCACATACAAACAGTGCAGTGATACCTGACGTGAGGATGTGAGCAGAAATCAGAAGAAGAAAGATGAGAAGCTATCAGGGGGATGAGAAAGTTGCTGAGGAAACAAAGAGGAGAAACTAAGTGCTACATGGTAAAATAGATACAGCCCTATATGGGGCCCATACCAATGCCCTGGTCATCAGCATTTTCAGTTCTCCTCTCCACCCTACCCCTCCACATGGTGCATAGACAAGAGCTGCGTCCTTTCTAGCCAGACTCTTCCTGGTTCTCTCCGTGACTACCCAGGGCAGCGTTAGGGTGAGTAGGGAAGGACAGGGCTCAGCCAAGGAACATGGGTCCAAAGGTAGAATTTTCCCTTTAAACCCAATAGCCTGGTGGCCAGCAACACTGTAAAAGGGACACAGGAGACTACAGGAATGGAGGGGAAAGTTGGAGCCTCAGGCAGGTATGTGCAACTGGGACACAATGAGGAACTGAGAGATGCTGCTAGTTAAGCCCTGTGAGTCTTGCTTGGTAGCTTACTGCAGCTGCCCTCACCCATCCCAGGGATCTTCTTGGGACAGATGGTGGAGAGCTCTGGGGATGGGGATGTTTTTGGGGTTCAGGCACCTGCCAAGAACCAAGCACAATTCTCTCTCACTATTTACATAGATTTGTAATGTTAGGACAGTTTGAAGTTGGTCCTTGAGGCCTCTACCAGCAGCTCTTACCTCCTTCTTATAGCACAGCTGGTTGTACAAGGTCGGCTTGGGAATAGTTTCGATCTTCACCTCTTGGGTAGATGTCCGGTATGACGGGTTACTGTAAGTCAGGTTCCCCAAGCCAGAGTCTGTGAACTTAGACTTCTTGTGTCTGTAGGAGGAGAAACCAGGAGAAGGTGGAAGAACAAATAACAGAAATATCCAAAACACATGACCTGGTAGTAATGGGAGACTAACTACCCAGATATCTGTTGGCAAGGTAACACAAAATGTCCAGTAAGTTCTTGGAATGTGTTGGGGAGAACTTCTTGTTTCAGAAGGTGGAGGCAGTAACTAGGGACACAGCTAGTTTAGACTTGATTCTAAGTAACAGGAAGGAATTGGTTGCTAATCTGAAGGTGCAAGGCAACTTGGGTGAAAATGACCATGAATTGATGGGCTTCAGGATTATAAGGAAAGGAAGAAGTGAAAGCAGCAGAATAAGGATGATGGACTTCAAAAATCAGACTTTAACCAACTCAGAACTGGTAGATAAGGCCCCAGGAGAAGAAATTCTAAGAGGAAAAAGAATTCAGGGAAGCTGGTAATTTCTCAAAGAGACAATATTAAAGGAGCAACAGCAAACTATCTTGATGGTAAGGAAAGACAGAAAGACTAGTAAGAGGACAGTATGGCTCCATCAGGGGCCTTTAATGACCTGAAAATCAAAAAGGAAACCTACAAAAAGTGGAAACACCGACAAATTGCCAAGGAGGAGTACAAAAGAATAGCACAAGCATGCAGGGACAAAGTCAGAACGGCTAAGACACAAAATGAGTTACACCTAGCAAGGGACATAAAAGGCAGTAAGAGGAGGTTCCATCAATACACTAAGAGCAAGAGAAAGACAAATGAAAGTGTAGGTCCTCTACTTAGTGGTGAAGGAGACCTAACCGAGAACTCCAGAAAGCTGAGGTATTTAATGCTTACTTTGCTTCAGTCTTCACTAAAAAGGTTTATTGTGACCAGATGCTTAATAGAATTAATTTAACAACAAAGGGGAAGGAACACAAGCCAAAATAGAGAAAGAACAGATTAGAGAATATTTAGACAAGTGAGATGTATTCACGTTGGCTAGGCCTGATGACATTCACCCTAGTGTCCTTAAGTGACTAGCTGAAGCAATCTCAGAACTGTTACCAATTATCTTTGAGAACTGATGGAGAACAGGTGAGGTTCCTGATGACTGGAAAAGGGGAAACGTAGCAACTATATTTTAAAAGGAGAAACACAGAGCACCTGGAGAATTATAGAGCAGTCAGCCCAACTTGGATTAGGAGAGAGCAGGGTTATAAGGAATAGTTAAAATGGATTTGTCAAGAACAAATCATGCCAAACCAAACTAACTTCCTTTTTGACAGGGTTACTGGTCTAGTGAATAGAGGGGAAGCAATACTCATGATATATCTTGATTTTCGTAAGGCTTTTGACACAGTCCCACATTATATTCCCATCAGCAAAATAAGGAAAGGTGATTAAATTACTATAAAGTATACAACTTGTTGAAAGACCGTACTCAAATCGTAGTTATCAATGGTTCACTGTCAAAGTAGGGGGACATATCTAATGGGGTCCCACATGGGTAGTATCGTTCTGGGTCTGGTACTATTCAATATTTTAATTAATGACTCTCATAATGGAGTGGAGAGTATGCTTATAAAATTTGAGGATGACACCAAGCTGTGAGGGATTGCAAGCACTTTGCAGGACAAGTTTAAAATTTTAAATGACTGACAAATTGAACTGAAATCAACAAGATGAAATTCAATAAAGTACTACATTTAGGAAGGAAAAATTAAATGCACAACAACAAAATGGGGATAGTACTGCTGAAAAGGACGGGGATGCTTATAGTGGATCACTAATTGAATATGAGCCAATAATGTGATACACTGTGAAAAACGCTAATATTTTTCTGGAGTATATTTACAGGAATGTCATGTGTAAGACATGGGGGTAATTATTCTGCTCTACTTGGTACTGGTGAGGCCTCATCTGGAGTTCTGTGTCCAGTTTTGAGCGCCAAACGTGGATAGATTGGAGAGTGTCCAGAGGACAGCAGCAAAAATGATAAATGGTTTACAAAACCTGACCAATGAGGAAAGGTTTTAAAAAAACTGGGTATGTTTAGTCTTGAGAAAAGAAGACTGAGAGGGGCACCTGATAACAGTCTTTAAATATGTTAGGGGCTATTATAAAAAGGACTGTGACTGATTGTTCTCCATGACCACTGAGGGTAGGTGAAGAAATAACAGGCTTAATCTGCAGAACGGGAGACTTTGGCTAGATGTGAGAAAAACTTTCTAACTATAAGAATATTTAAGCACTGGAATAAGTTATCAAAGGAGGTTGTGGAATCCCCATAAGTGGAGTTTGTTTAACCCTGTTCTTAAAAACCACTTGTCACAGACAGTCTAGATTTACTTGGTCCTGTCTCAGTGCAGAGGACTGAACTACATGACCTCTTGAGGTCCCTTCCAGCCCTACATTTCTATAATTCTGTCAGTAGAGGGATAGGGTCCCATTGTCAAAAGGTCCATTTCTACAGACAAGGCCCCAACCCAGTGACCAGAAAGCGCCAATGATCTGTTTGTTCCCTCAGGCCAGAGGAGAGCCTGTTTCATCAGGTACAGGTATTCCCTTCAGCTGCCTGTACAGCCACCATGCACCAGTGCAATGCAGTCAAGTTGTCTCTCGCTTATATCAGTATAAGTCAGAGGTGACTCCACCACTAGGCAATGAAGTCATATTAGTGTAAAACCCATCAGAGCAGAATCAGGTCATGGACTTGACAGAGATCAGTAGAAGGAAACAAGTCCCCCTTAGGAGAGGGTCAAGCTATGAAAGAGCTTGAGAGAGCAGCTGGCTGAAAGCATTTGGAACTCAGATTTACTAGACCAGCATTTCTCAAACTGCAGGTCAGGACCCCAAAATGGGTCACGACCCCATTTTAATGGGGTCGCCAGGGCTGGTGTTAGATTTGCTGGAGCCCGGGGCCGAAGCCCGAGCCCCACCACCCCGGGCTGAAGCTGAAGCCAAAGGGCTGCAGCCCTGGGCAGCGGGGCTCAGGTTAGAGGCCCTTTGCCTGGGCTTCGACTTTGCCCCCGCCATCCCCCTTCCCCCAGGGTGGTATGGCTTGGGCTTTGGCCCCCCAACCCGGGGCAGCAGTGCTCGGGTGGGCTCAGGCTTTGATCCCCCGTCCTGGGATCATGTAGTAATTTTTGTTGTCAGAAGGGGATCGCAGTACAATGAAATTTGAGAACCCTTGTACTAGACAAAGTCCAAAGCCATGGTGATACAAATTCCATCGCACTCCTGCATATGATTTTCTAGACTCTCTATAAAATAGAGCCAAACAGGATTTTGCAGAGCAGGGAGCAGGAGGGCTGGGTGGACGCGCAGAGGGTGGCTTGTCTCACATGCTCTTTATAGGGAGGAGGAGAACTTTAGGGCTGCCCAACAGTTCAGTCTGCTCCCCGAGGTCCATGTGGGGCAGGGGGCTTTGTAAATAAAATGAAGTAGTTATTATTACTGTTTCCAGATAATGAGATGCTTGTAGCCCCAGTGATGAAGGACCTCTGTTGAAAGTCTCCTTCAACCAAAAAGACTCAATTCACCAGCAACAGGAAAGAAGGGGACAGGATGGGAAGTGGGGGGGTCAGATACCTGTATATAATTAGAGCAGCAATAAGCAGCAGAATGACCAAGACACTGAGGAGGCCTCCAATAATGTAGCTGACATGCAGCCCTTCTCCTGAAAAAGAACAGCAAGGGTGAGAGGAGGCCCTTTCTTTGCCACTGGACTATGTTCAAAACTACTGTAGCTGTGTGTGCATGCGTGTACCCACCTATGTACTGGGGTTTAGCAGCCCAACTCCAGGGTGGAGCTTGGCACAGCTTGAGCCCATTCTCTCCCCCTCAGGGAATCTGGAGAAGACTTCTGAAGTACGGGTGATATTATTTCTCAAAGATAGGGGCAAGTTAACCCCCTTCTGCTACCAGGTTACTCCCTGCTACGGGGTCAGTCTTCCTCACCAACCAGACTAGAGGGGGAAAGCACCCTATGGGAACTAAGCTTGTTCCGCCTGAGTGATGAATTTGGGCGTTGGGGAACTCTGCTGTCCTTCAAACTAAAATCCTCTCCTCTGGCCACCCAGGGAAGAGCCTGTTTGGGGCTGAAAGAGAGCATGACTGATTTTCATCCTTGGGATACTCCTTGTCTTGCTCAGAATGAGATTGAAGAAGGTCACATTGAGTCCTCAACACCTTGGAGCGAAAGGCCCTGGCATAACCTGGAAGAAAGGTTCAGCTAGCAGAGGGTAAGGAAGAACAACTCACCTGTGGTTGCCAGTACTGCCTCATTCTTCCGGTTGCACGGGCCTTGGCCAACATCTTTGTCAGAGCAGCTGAAGGGCACAAAGATACAGAGTTATCATCTCACTGCACAGAGCAGCTAGTCATCTTCTGGGCATGGATGGAGCCATGTAGGATAGGGCAGGCTGCAGCTGGGAATGGAGGGTAAGCTGGGGGGTAGAGAAGGGGCAGTATGACAAGAGCTTCCTTTGCCTACTCAAGTATACCCTTCTACCCAGATGTGAGAGGTTTCTCTGGACCCAACTCCTTAGATCCTAGAGTGTCCACACTCTTCTGTCTCGCTACAAGTGAAGCTGGAATCTTTGGACAGCTTGTGCATGGGATATATTCAAGAAAGGGCATTAGCGCTGAGCAGTCACTCTTCCTCTTCCCTCTGCAGTGAAAAAACATAAAACTAATCTCAAAGGAAAGGAAAAAAAAAAAAAAAAGCCAGCTCTGCAGAGAAAAAAAATTCTGCAAGGATTTTTATTCCCAGCAAAGAGAAAGTGGTATGTCTTTGCTTGGAGTTAATACCCCAATATGCGATTGAAGAGCTCTCCCTGCTGGGCAGGGAGAGAAGTAGGCCAAGGAAGAATGGCAGAAAATACTTTCCATGCATTGAATCATAAAAGTAAGACCTGCAGACACGCTGTTTGGTCCCATCCTAGCCATCCCTTCAGGGTCAAGGCAGGACTGCTCCCAGGGCTCTGCCCAGTCTAGTTTAAAATGATCAAAGCAATGGAGCTCCCACCCCATCCTCTGGGAAACCATTCTCCAAGTTAAGAGGTCAGCAGTCATACATGTGAAGCACAGGGTACCATGGGCAGGGCCAAGAGGATTCCTGCACCTTGCACAGTCAATCAGGCTAGCAGGAACATTTGAATGAAGTGGGTAGCGAGGCCTATGCAGCCCATGCCAGCTCCAGAGAGATACAAAAATGTGGATTCGCATCCGAAAAAATCAACTTGTATCCGACCTGCAATCCGCACTCTGTCTTGTATCTGCAGCCGCACCAGCAGCACGCTATCTCACAGTGCCTCCTAGGAGGAGTGTCTGTGTGCGAGTGTACTGTATACAGGATCTCAAAAGCGGGGAAGCAGCAGTCTGCAGCTCATAGCCTATGAGGCTGCTTCCTCACTTTCTAGATCCTGTATTCCTCTCCCCTTCCCGCCCCCATACAGAAAAAGGGGAGGAGATAGATCAAGAAGCATCTATCTGCAGCTCATAAGGCTTCCTGACTTACTTTGCAGAAGCAGCTGCCTCCCTCTCCAACTGACCTGATATGGCAATACTGAAGTCAGGAGTTTCCTAAATTGCTTGGCTGCTTAAACTCCATCAATAGGAGCCTGGGGGGTTTTGCTGGCTGTCTTGATCTATCACCTTCCCTTTCTCTGTATGGAGCGCGGAGAGGGAATATAGGATCTGGAAGGCAGGGAAGCAGCCTCACAGGCTATGAGCTGCAGACAGCTGCTTCCCCATCTTTGAGATCCTATATTTAGAGCCCTGCGTGAATACAAAATTTGTATCCGCATCCAATCTGCAAAAATGGTCCTCGGATATCCACAGATTTGCAGGGGTCTAGTGCGTGTCTCTGTCTTCATAGACAGGGTCTTCTGTGGCTATTTACAGGGTGCCTAGAGGTTGTATGGTCTCACTCCATCTTGGGGTGGTGTGATAGGGCGGTGGAAGGTGAAGGGGACATGCGCATCCTGCATTCAACTCTCAAGTCCAGATTGCAAGCTGCAAAGTCACTCACTTTCCTTCCGTTGCTTCTAGGGATGTGTGGGGTTTGGTCGTTGAGGAGCCTGATCTGCCAGGTGAGGTCTGGCTCCTCTCGCTCACACTGGTTGTTTCAGGAACACGGGGCACCCTGCCAGGAACTAAACAATACAGACAGAAAAATAAATAGGAGCCCAGTTTAGTGAGACAGATGGAGAAGTCTGCTAGACCACAGATCATTTCCTAAATAGTGAGACCAAGAATTTGTGTACAGAGCTCAGACACCCCATGCCCATCCTTTCCAGCAGGAAGCAATGTAAGAAAGATATTTGAAGCTCACAGCTGCTTGACTTACAGTATAGAACATTGTAGGGACTTTTGTAGGTTGTGGAGACCTCCCAGATACTCTGATTCTCAACAGGAGATGCTAAAGGCCAGGGTGGGAGTGCTGGCTGTGGTTCATATATAGATGCTATTACCCCAGAGAACCTCTCTGAACTCACCAGTGGAGCAGGGTCGTCCATCTGGTTCATCTGGACATGCACAAACAAAGTCAGAAACCCTGGCGAAGCAGAGATGGGTGCAGCCTCCATTATTCACTCCACAGGCATTTGTACCTGAAGGAGACAACCAAGCCATTAAACCTGGAGCAGGTGATCAGGTGAGGCCTTGATGGAGTTCAGGAGCCTCACTTCCCTTTTAATCAAGATAGACTGCCCAGAAGGCCAAGGAATTTCTGTGCCACATGAACCAACCCCTCTACCCCACAGTGCTGAGAGAATGATGGAGAGAGTCAGGCACCAGCGGATTACAATAACCATGTAAAAAAGGGGCTAGAATCTTCTGGGAATCAGCAGAGAGGACCAACCAATGCAGCCAAACAGCAGATCTTAGGAATAGTCTCTCTGTGTTACTACAGAGAATTCTTTCCCAGGTCTCTGACTGGAGGATCTTGCCCACATGCTCAGGATCTAACTGATCGCCATATTTGGGGTTAGGAAGGAATGCCCAGGTCAGATTGGCAACGACCCTGGGGCCTTCCTCTGCAACATGGGGCATGAGTCACTTGCTGGTTTGACCTAGAGTAAATGGTGGATTCTCTGTAACTGAAGTCTTTCAATCAAGATTTGAGGACTTCAATAACTCAACCAGAGGTTATGGGCATAGGGCAGGTGGGTGAGGTTCTGTGGACTGGGATGTGCAGGAGGTCAGACTACATGATCATGATGGTCCCTTCTGGCCTTAAAGTCTACGAATCTAAACTGATTGTTTAATAATTTCTTCCAGGATATCTTCCAGGTATCAAAGTTAGGTTAACTGGTCTATAATTCCCCAAGTCCTCTGTTCCCCTTTTTAAAGACAGATACTATACTTGCCTTCTCCTGTCCCCTGGGAACTGCCCCTCCCCTCCATGAGTTCTCAAAGATAATTGCTTATGGTTCCCAAATTGTTTCAGCTAGTTCCTTACAGACACTAGAATGAATTTAATAAGGTCTGGCCAACTTGAATACATCTGATTTATCTAGATGTTCTTTAACCTGATCTTTCTCTATTTTGGCTTGCGTTCCTTCCCCCTGGTTGTTAATATCAATTGTGTGATGCATCTGGTCATAATTAATTCCTTTAGAGAAGACTGAAGCAAAATAGGGATGAAACACCTCAGCCTTTTTCCAGTTGTCTGATATTTGCTCTCCTTCCCTGCTAAGTAGAGGTCTACACTTTCCTTCATCTTTCCCTTGCTCCTACCCTGTTTATAGAACCTCTTCTTCTTGCCTTTTATGTCACTTGCCAGGTATAACTCTTTTTGTTCCTTAGCCTTTCTGGTTTAGTCCCTACATGCTTGTGTTATTATTTTGTAATCATCCTTAGCAATTTGTCCATGTTTCCACTTTTTGTACGTTTCTTTTTTGATTTTCAGGTCATTAAAGAACTACTGATGGAGTCATATTGGCCTTTTGCTATTCTTCCTATCTTTCCTTCACATCGAGATAGACAATATCAAAGGAGCAACAGCAAACTCTTTGAGAAACTACCAGCTCTCCAAAACTCCTTTTTCTCTTAAAGTTTCTTCCCATTGAACCTTACCTACCAGTTCTCTGAGTTGGTTAAAGTATGATTTTTTTTTTTAAGTCCATCATCCTTATTCAGCTGCTCTCGCTCCTTCGACTCATGAAATCTACCATTTTATGATCACTTTCACCCCAGTTGCTTTCCACCTTCAGATTTGCAACCAATTCCTCCATTAGTAAGACTCAAGTCTAAACTGATTGCCCCCTGGTTACTTCCTCCACCTTCTGAAACAAGAAGTTGTCCCCAACACATTCCATGAAATTACTGGCCATTTTCTGTTACTTTTCCAACAGACATCTAGGTAGTTCAAGTCTTCCATTACTACCAGGTCTTGTGTTTTGGTATTTCTGTTATTTGTTCTGAACATGCTTCATCCTTCTCCTGATTATGGTCTGTAGTAGTCTCCTACCATGACACTGCTCCTGTTTCTCCCCCTCCCCCGCCGCATCTTCACCCAGAGACTTTCAACGGGCCTTCCTCTCACCTCCTTCTGGACCTCAGAACAAGAATATATATTCTGGATGTACAATTCAACTCCTTCTCCCTTTTTTCCCTGCCTGCCCTTCCTGAATGAGGAAAGACAGGCAGCTATAAGGAAGTTCTGACATAGGCTTCCTCAGCTGAAATCTCAAAGAGGCAGAGAATGTGCCCCAACAAGACTGAGGGAAGAGTCACAGTTTGTAGGGCACACAGAGAGGGGTGGGTGGAGGGTAAGGGCTCTCTGGGTAGACTCTGCACTCATTAAATATGCCAGGATACCTGCAGCCTGCTTGGCACCAACTAGCAGAGGCAGCAATTAGGATCACCCCATATACCTGTCTGCCTCTGTGGGGAGACCACAATGATATCCATTAGCCCCTCAACATTGGCCAGGACAGTCTCCTTGTTTCGGCCTGAGTATTTGTCCACTCGCTGGATAGATTTGGTTTGCCAGTCAGTCCAGTAGATCCACCTGTCCTGCTGCTCAGAGGGAAAAATCAAATGCATTAGAGCACTTGGCCACGTATATAAAAGAATTGCACAGAAGAGTATTCATGGGGCTTAGGGCTCCAGACAAAGCCCCTTCCCAGTCTAACTTCCCTCTTCTCGATGTCAATCAGAAGCTTCCCCCACCTCCTCGAGCCACTTAGCCTAGGAACAGCCCTAGGTAAATCCCAAACCAGAGAAGCACACACCAGATCCCCCACTACCCCATATATACCCAAGAAGTCTGTACTATCCCCTAGGGAGTACAGCAGTCACTGCATTCACCACTACCCGTGGGCTCCTCTTTACCTGTGTCAGGGCAAAGGGGTGCGACACCTGGCTGACCAGCACCTGGCGTAGCTTCCCATTGAGATCAGCACTCTCGATACGGTCAAGATGTGCATCCACCCAGTAAATCCTATACAGACAGGGAAAAAGAGATGAGACCAAGCCCCACGGTTAGTCTTCCACCCATACTCACACTCCTCACTTCTGAGTCACTCACTAGCCCAAGATGACGCCTCACATCAGGCAAAACACTTCAGAGGATCGAGCTAAAAAGGCTCAGGTGCACTACATATCTTACTCAGTTCTCCTGGGTATGACAGCATCACTCCCACTCTTGCACTGACCTTCTAGTATCATAGTCTAATGTCAGTCCATTGGGCCAGCCCAGGTCGGTGTTGATTAGAATTTTGCGCTCAGAGCCATCCAAGTTTGCCCGCTCAATTTTAGCGATGTGACCCCAGTCCGTCCAGAAGAGGTACCTGAACAGAAAAAACGCAGATGCAAGAGACGGGTAAGCCCCTGGGGGATGGGGGAGGAGGCATAGGGACAGGTTTGAGACTTTGCATTATTAAGTCCACTAAAAGCTTTACTTGTGGACTAAAACAGCTGAGTCTACATTTTTCACTAAAGTTCCAGTTTTGTTCATTTATCGCACCCTATTTTCCCAATCTTGGCCCCCATCACTCCCAGCTGGACCTAACCTTTCCCCAGTTGCTATCATCATCCCACTCCATGCACAAGCAGCCCAGTCTCCGGAAACCTGCCAGACTCAGACCATACATCCTTCCTTTCTCCCAGATCTCCCTCCCATTGAACTGGCCTTGTACAACCTGACCTCCCCCATCTTCCCCTCCACTTGGCCCTAGACCTACCCCTTCTTGGGAAAGGCAGCAATTGCTCGGGGTTCATCCAGGCTGTTATTAATAAGCACTTTTCTGCAGCTGCCATCCAGTCTGGCCACTTCAATGGTGTTGCGACCTGTATCCGTCCAGTACAGGTTCCTGGCAACCCAGTCCACTGCCAAGCCATCCGTCGTCTTCAGCCCGTGACCAATGACCGTCTCCATGCTGCTGCCATTCAGGTCTGCCCGCCTGGGGGAATCAGTGCCAAACAGGATAAGGCATAAGAGGGCTCCTCATGATCCTTCAAGTCTCCCTGTGCCATTCTTCTCTATCAATGGGACTACCAGTCCCTACCCCCAGTTACTATGAAGGCTAAATATGCCTCCAACAATTAGTTCAGTAACACAAACTGCTCTGTGTGCTGTCGGCAAGTATCATAAGAACATAACATAAGAATATAAGAATGGCCCTACTGGATCAGACCAAAGGTCCATCTAGCCCAGTATCCTGTCTTCTGACAGTGGCCAGTGCCAACTGATCCATCCCCTGTCACTCATTCCCAGTTTCTGGCAAACAGAGACTAGGGACACCATTCCTGCCCATTCTGGCTAATAGCCATTGATGGACTTATCCTCCATGAATTTATCTAGTTCTTTTTTGAACCCAGGTATGGTCTTGGCCTTCACAAAATCCTCTGGCAAGGAGTTCCACAGGTTGACTGCATTGTGTGAAGAAATACTTCCTTTTATTTGTTTTAAACCTGCTGCCTATTAATTTCATTTGGTGACCCCTAGTTCTTCTATTATGAGAAATAGTAAACAACACTTCCTTATCTACTTTCTCTGCACCAGTCATGATTTCTCTGTACCATCACTACATTCCCAGCCCTTCAGGCAGGAACCACCTCCACCTACTGGAAAAGTCTAATCTATAAGAGCAGCCAACAATGCAAAAAATCTCAGCCTGAGAGGCTGCGTGCCCAGCAGCCACTTACCCCTGGGCACCTACCTGATGACATCAAGGAAGACATCTGTGTAGTAAATCTTGCCATCCACACTGTCATAGTCCAGAGAGATGACATTGTTCAGTTCTGGGACAGGGACATGCACATCAGTGTGATCATTTGTGTCCAGTGAGATGCGTCGGATAGAGCCACGGCTGGAGAAGAGCAGATAGGTCTCTGGAGAGGGGTCACAGGTCTGCTCATCGCTCTTCAGCTGGATGCCGGTGGGGCAGGCACAGGAGAAGCCAGCAGGGTGGGGCAGGCAGAGGTGGGAGCAGCCACCATTCCTTATGCTGCACTTGTTAAAGCCTTTGGGAAAAAGGGAGAGGAAAAATCAGCCTGACTCCATGTTTCCAGAGACCTAAGGCTTCCATCTCTTTACAGGGCATGAACACACAATTCACTGGCAACCTGATTTCATTCCAAGCACATCCTTGCTAGGACTAGATTGTAGGTCACCACAAAGGGACATTTACCCAAAGATTCAACTGTGCTCTGCAGGGATCAGTGGATGTGGGGGGTCCAGTAGGGATAGCCTCCTGGCCTGTACCCCTTGATATCAGAATTTCCCAATGGAAGAAACAGCAAACAGCTGGTTTCCATTGGCCGGCTGAGGATCATGTGATTCCAGTTTAGCTCTGCTATTTGCAATAACAGCAACAAGACCCTAGCTGGGAAGAGTGCAGGAGTGGCATAATAAGCCACCCCTAGCCAGTCTGGCCCAGGAGTTTCCATTCTAAGTTAGACACATGCAGCAGGGGTGCTAGGTAGGCCCACATTAAGCTAATGGCTTCTAAGTGGGTTTGCATATTTAGTTTTAACATGGGAGTAGTCAGACTTTTTTAATTAATAAATCTATATATATTTAGTGTAAGGGCGGAAAGTCCAGCAGAAGCAAGGGGGAAGGCAACAGGTATGGGACAAGGGCGGTGTCAGGGCTGGAGTAAACATGAGGGAGTGGGGCTGGGATGCTGACCAAAAGCAGCACGTCTTGAGGAGGGAGCGGGGTTGCATACTGCACAGTGTTACGGAGGATGTTCCAGCCATGTGAGAAGAGGCCAAGAGCTGCCTAAGGAGGCACATTCCAGTGAACCAAGCCAGCAGAGTGAGGGAACAGTAAGGATGGGAAATGAACTAGAGACAGGGAATGGCTGTGCACACCCCAGAAGGGTAGGGTAAGGAATTTTACACTGCCAAGGAGACATTGGAGGAGGAGGAGGATGTGATGAAAACAGCAGTTTAGCAGCAGTAGACTTGAGTATTTGCTGTGTCTGAGAATGGGCTGGACTGAGTGACAGCCTCAATGTAAGGAGAGCAGGGGAAGCAGGAGTCAAAAATGACACCAAGACTGTGCACCTGGGTAACTGGGTGGATGATGAAAACAGTCAGTTACTGTGGGAGGGGGTCAGGGGAGGGACTGAGGTTGGAGAAGGAATTTATTTTCGGCCCTGCGTGATCTCCCAATGAAACACCAGAAGATCCCTCTCAATGACAGCTTCGAGGCCCCTCTAGTCATTAAGGCCTGATGATGCTCCTGGCTCCAAGGCAGCCTGGAAACTCACCAAGCTGCCGTGTCCTGTCAACAGCTTGAATGTCCATCAGGCCGGGCAGGTTTGCCCTCACCAGGATGACGTTGGCACCGGTGTCCTTGTCAGCCCTGTGAATGCTGCGGGTTTGCCAGTCAGTCCAGTAGATGTATGAGTCCAGTAGGGTGAGACCATAGGGATGCTGCACTGGGGACAGCAGGGTGTGGCGGTTTGCACCATTTAGGTCTGCAGCCTCAATGCGCTAGAGAAGGGGCAAGAAGGAACGCCCTGCTCAGTCCTTTCCCTTAGATAATGTCCTGAGCAAAGACAAGCATGCGTGAAGCTGGGACTGGAGTCCAAGCAAGCAACATGGCTCTGGTCCACCATCCCCAACAGCCCAAGCCCACAGGAAGCCTCAGAGTGCTTCCACACAGTCCCCTTCTCTTCTGACACCTTACCCAGGGGCTTCAGAAACGGCCTCTAGGATACCAAGGCTCCAATGTTAATCCCATAGGAATCGTTAAAGAGAAGACACCAACCTCTGTGTGCGCATCAGCCCACAGCAGCTGCGATCCAGCCTTATCCACTGCCAGCCCATTGGGCCAGCCCAGGTTGTTGCTGATCAGCACCAGGCGTCCTGAGCCATCCATGCCAGAGCGCTCCAGCTTGGCGTTCTCACCCCAATCTGTCCAGTACATGTATCTAGGGAAAAGGGGAAAGCCAAGAACACATCAGAGAAACAGCAAAGAGGTTAATGCCTCCAGGCCTCCTCCCTCAAGAAAGTCCCCTGCCAGCACTAACCCCATCTCGTGATACAATGCAATTGCTCTTGGGCTGTCCAAGTTCTGCCAAACCAAAACCTTCCTCATTGATCCATCCAGGTTGCCCACTTCAATCCGATTGGTTCCCGTGTCTGTCCAATATACCTTGCGGCCAATAGCATCCACTGCCAGCCCATCTGTGGTCAGCAGACCTGAGAAAGCAGAATTGTACCAAGGTAACTTCTCATCCTTCAACACCGATCAGATAACCCAGGAGATTACCCCTGCTCACCACTCAAGTCTGGGAGCGCTCCCCCTACAATACCTACAGGACTTCCATCTCTGACCTCTCTAGAGCTGGAAACCCAAGGAATCCCCCTCCAGGCTGCCACATGAAGATATGGTGCACTCTGCAAACCATCCCTCACCTGTGGTGATGATGTCCTCATACTGTGAGCCATCCAGGGCAGCCCTGCTGATTTTCCGCAGCGTGCTATCTGACCAGTAAACCTTTCCTGGTAGGGAAATAGGAAAAATTAAAAATCAGCAAACTCCTTCAAATAGCCCCAGGCCTCCTTGAGATTATAGGCACCTGGATTACTCCGAAGAGCAGCAGGGTCATGCAATCCAGTGGTCTGTCAGAGTCCAGCGACACAGGACACAGAGCCACGGTAATCCAGTTAAAAGGATAGAAAAGCCACAGCTCCTCCAGTTCCAGCCTCTCCCAGAGGGAGGTGCCATAGTGAAAGGTGAGGAGCACTGCCTCTGGGGAGCTCCCGGCTGCTCTTGAAAGGGTCCCTGTACAGAATGATGCAGTTTATTATTTAAAATGTTACTGACCAATAGTGTAATCAGACCCATGTCTGGTTTTCAGGAGGGTCCCAAAGGACAAAAGTCAGACATTCTAACCCACCACACAAAATGGGGTTCAACCCAGACATATAATGCCAGATACACAGGCCAGGTCAATCCTCAAAATTTAAGTCAAACCAGTTAAATTGCTCAGGGGTGTGAAAAATCCGCAGCCCTGAGCAACAGACAGAATTCTTCTGTTAACTGAGCTACTACGCCTCTCAGCAAAGTGGATTACCTATGCCGATGGGAAAACCACTCCCATCAGCTGTGCTGCTGTAGCATTTTGAGTGTACACAAGCCCTCAGTGTAAACCAACAGCCACCAGCCCAGCTCTCTTTACATTAACAAGACTTAGATAGGAGAGCAAATTATTTAAATTCAGACTATGTGAGCCTGTCTCAGTGGACCAGCTAGTTGGGGTTTTAGCCCTGCATGTCAGCCAGCTGGAGCCTGTCTTAGAATCACAACAGTGATGAAGGAAGGGAATCTATGCAGCATGCATTGGAGAAACAGGAGCCTACATCTGTCCACATTTATGACACTGAGTGAACCAGTGGCAGTGCCTTCCCTCAGAAAGACACCGCCAATTGAGAGCTGCAGCCCTGCAATAATCAGTGTTGAATGTGGTTAGATATATAAGGCAGTTCAGACCTTCCTGGGGATCCACCCCAATGGCAATGGTGTTTTTCATAGTGACATTGACTGAGACAACGACGTCTGCAAAATACGGGATATCCAATGAGACCATGCGGATGTCCGTCCTTCTGGCAAAGATCAGGAAGCTGGTCATCCCTGCAGAAAGTTGAGGATAGACCAACAGTGTCAGTGAAGGGCAGGGAGAAGGTCAAGCCAACTGTCCCTGGGGCACTGTCTGCTGAATCATATCCTTGAGCCACCCAAGAGACAACTTCAGCCTTTAGGGAGAAGGGAAGATCTTAGATCTGAAATACCACAAGCAGAAAGACTCTTCCACTCCACTGAATAACACAGAACAGTTCTCTAGTTACCTGTGGGGTGGGAAGGGAAAGCCCTCATAGAAGTGTTAATTGTGCGGAAATGGAAACCAGTTTTCCTACTGAGGTGAACAAGATGGGACCCATGCAGAGTTATTGCTTCAAAGGCCTGAAGCCAAGACTCTTCATGGTACTGAAAGGGAAGGTGGCTGTGAGGGGAGGGGTAGGCTTTATTCAGCCATACTATAGAGTACAGCACCATTCCAGGAAGGGACTGAGCCCACTTCAAACTCAAGACAGATCTATCGGAGAGACTGACATACAGTTGAACCATATGGCATCACGTTGGTGAAGTTTTCCTTTTGGACAATTTAATCTTCCCACACCCCTCCCGGGGCACCCCAAGCCAACCCACAGACTTTTACCACCAGTCCTGAGGGCACAAGCACTACATGGGCTTCTCAAGGGGCCGAGGATGGTGAAGTCACACCCAAGTCCCCTGAGGAGTGGGTTCCAGTAACTTGTGCCAAGGGGCCAGGAGTGGGATGTGGGGCCTGAGATCCAACTGCAGTGAGAACCCTACAGAGGAAACTTACCAGATGAGCAGGTCTTGCCATCAGCTTGGAGGTTGATACCAGTGGGGCAGGTACAGCTATAACCTTTAGGGAGAGGAGCCAGGAGGCACAGGTGGCTGCAGCCACCATTATTAACTCCACATGCTGTGCGTACTGAAGGGGGGGGAAAGGAGAAAACCATCAGGCACAGGCACACACCCGAGAGCTCAGCATTAGGTTCGTGGAGGGATGGTCACTATCAAAGTGGGCAACAGCTATAGAAATGCAGGCTGGGGGTGTGGGAGCACACTCTCTTTAAGAGGCCAATAGGGATTTATTACACAGACTCACTCCCTCGCCAGATGTGCAGGGCACCAGGAGCCTGGGTGAGTTCAGAGCTCCCCATGGGGGTGAGGCTGACTCTGTACCTGTAGGTCTGTGCCGGTGGAAAACATGGATGTCCATGAGGTTCTCCAAGTTATCCTGCAGTGTTTCACGAGCCTGCCCCGTCCTTCTGTCTGCACTCTGGATGCTCTTGGCTTGCCAGTCTGTCCAGTAGATCCGCTCACCATAAAGAGTAAGTCCAAATGGGTGGGGCAGATTGCTTCCAATCAGCACCTGTCAGCCCCCAAAACAAAAGTCCTCAGGAAATCACATGGTGGTGCTTCCACCCACACCTCCAATCATTCCCTAGAATGGATGGGGCTTGGAGAACAACAAAGGTAATATGTAAATGTCCTGGTAGCATCAAGGTGGGGGAAAGGTTGGTGTGGGAGAGGTGGCTGCCCACATACTTTGCACTCATAAAGGGGGCTCTTTTCTCTCTGTACAAGTAGCTGAAAATGTCTTGATTTGGGAACTTTACTTCCATTTGACCCATGCCATTCTTTCCTGCCAGCACTTTGTCCTCTAGGATAGGCACTCAGCATCCCAGCCTCCCCTTCCCTCTGGCCTGGTTCTCTTACCTTTCTCTCACTGCCATCCAGGTTGGCATACTCAATGGTCTTCATGCCAGCATCCGCCCAATACAGGCGCTGAGACTCGTAGTCAATGGCCAGCCCGTTGGGCCAAGTCAGATTGGAGGAGATGATCACCAGGCGGCTGGAGGCATCCATACCGGCACGCTCAATCTTCGGGCTGACTCCCCAATCAGTCCAGTACATGAACCTGAACACAGGGCCCAAAGGGAAGTGAGCACCTGCACTCCTACTCCTGCTCCCACAGCTGCTCACCATTAGCCAGAGAAGTCAAGTGTCTTGGTGCCTTCAGCAGCCAGAGGGAAACAGTGTCAGGCTAACATGATCTGTACTTCCATCTCTAGGGCCCTGCCACCTTTTTATACACATTGTTCTGGTCCAGAATTCATAGCCCCTCCTCTGCCAAGAACCTGGCAAGGAGGAGAGAGACGGTAAGACTGAAAGAGGATGCAGAAGCAAGTTGGCTTATTGTTGCCTTAAGAAGATATTTCTTAACTGTCTTCAAATCCCTGCAATCATGAGATGGAAGCAGAACTGCTCTGCCTCAGCCTCCCAGTAAACACCAAAGAAGAGAACGGTGCAGATTTATTCCAGCCTTCCAGCACTTGGGAAGCAAGAGCTGCTGGGCTTGTGCCCAGCCACCCAACCTAGTCTGATGCTTGGCTCTGCAAGGTCCTGTGGCTCAAAGGCAGAAGCTTTTATTACAATTCACTTCCTACAAACCTGATATTTTGAGATTTTCTTTCTGTGGGAGAATGAAACCTTGGAGACATGCTCACTGGATATGATATTCCTGGGCCCATTGATTCTGCAGCTCACTTGGGACCAAAAATGTTTGCACTAATTTAGCTGGTGATATGCCACTGTAATTCACTTCTGTCTTCAGATTAACCTAATGGCCAAGCAGACAGCAGGGCCCTCACAAGAACTCAGCATCAACATGGAATGAAGAACACACTATATAAATAAATAAAAGCCCTCATTCTCTTCTCAAACTTATTTTACACTAGTGTAACTATATGGACGTCAGTGGGTTACTCCTGATTTACATTGTGTGAGTGAGATAAGGCCCAAAATAACAGCTATCACTCTGAGCTGCTTGTTCTAGAAGTGCCTGCTGCTTGTCTTGTCAATGCCATCAGCATCCACAAGTCAGGCTCTTCTTTTCAGACCTTGGTAGACCTGTTATGGAGGCCTTTCTAGGTGTGGGTCTCTCTAAAGCCCCAAGGTGTCCGATATAAGGGCAATGGCACAATGAATCAAAACCAAACAATTCAGAGAGACAGAATTTATTGCCACATAATCCCAAGAGGAAAGAAGTTCTCACCCTCCAACAGGATCCACCACAATATCTCGTGGTCTATCTAGGTTCTCCCAGATCACTACAGTCCTCATGGCCCCATCTGTGTTGGAGACCTCTATCCGGTCTGTTCCTACAGAGATCAGGAGAGGGGTGGGGTGAGAGAGAAGGAGAGAAAGATCAAAGACCTCTGGAACCTCAGGAGACAGAAGAAACCAACATTGATACAGTGATTCAGTTTCCCTGCCTGCCATCCTCTCACCTGACCTGAGAGGCTGAAGTGAGTGCGGAACAGACTTACTCAACAGAGAACTCTCACGTTCAACTTCCCAACCCCAGCAACTGCTGAAACCCAGTGCAGCTGGGAGGAAGTGCTCTACCAGACCATCACAAGCATCTGGCTAAGCCCCAGAGGATGTCTAGGGGGATACCTTCCTGACATACCTCAGAACTCTAATTCTCTGGCAGAAATATCCTCCAGATTCTAACCATTCTGTCCTGAGGTACGTGGTTGGACAACTCAAGTGAGAGCCCTCTGCAGCAAGCAGCTGTTGTCCTCGGACATACACATTCCTGCAGACATCAGCAATGGGGTTAGAGCCCCAGTAGAAGTAACACAGGAAGCCAAGTTGGTTCCTGCTTCATCAGAAAGATGGGGAAGGAGGACCCATGTTTGCCAAATGGAGAAAGACAAAACTGAAACAGATCAGGCTGCCAAGCTAATACTGAGTTTTTATGAACAGGGAAGAAGATTACACCCTGTAGAGAGCATAAGACCCCAGTACCTGCATCAGTCCAATACAGCTTGTTGGTGACCCAATCGATAGCCAGTCCAGCTGGGCTTTCCAAGCTGGTATCCACCACAACCTGAGCAAGAACCAAAACAAAGGTCAGCAAACAAGAAACTCCCTTGAGAAAAGTCCTTGAGCCTGGCTCTCCGCCTATCCACTGCCAGCAACACAAACAACTCAGGCTAGCAAAATCCAAGTAGGAAAAATCCACATGAGAAAAAGTGTTGAGGACTTCAGAATTCAAACATGTCAGTTAAAGAATGGCTTTTGGACACCCCCATTTTCTACCTTTATTTCATTCCCCAACCGTCAAACTCTTGAGCTCTGTCAATGGCAGCCTGAGCATGAGCCAAAGGGGATGCCCAGAAAGTAACTCAAGGGAAAGCACAGTCCCTGCCATGCTCAGAGTTCCTGCTGAGCCAGGGAAAATGGGATTTAGAACCTTGTTCATTTGTGTTTTATTGAGACTCTGCCTGTGAAAAATCGAAGCCGTAGCTGGGTATTTACAAATCAATGTTCTCTCTTGCCCTACCTGCAGGGAGTCCCAGACAAGGAGGTGCACACACAGCACACACAAGGGTCTAAGAGCTCACCTTGGATCACCAGTGATTAACACGAGCCAAAACTAATGTGGGCATGGACAGGACCAGGGTAGCAGACCCCCAGAAGGCTGATACAGCCCCTATGGTTCATACAGAAACCTCAAGCCAGATTCACAACACAGAAGGCTGAGATCCCCAGAAGCTGCTTGGCCCGGTAACCTCACATCTACAGAATATTGTACCTTCTGGCCTGATCCGTCCCATTTTGCTCTGCTAATGGAGTCGGTGCTGACATCTGTCCAGTAGACATAGTCATCCTTTGAGTCCCAGTCCAGAGCCACAGCACTGCGCACATCAGCCAGGGGGATGACATCATCTGACAGGTCTTCTGTGTCGAAGCTGATCCGACGGATGTCCATCCTTCGGGCAAAAAGCAGGAACTTGTCAAGACCTGATCAAAGGTCGAAAGGTCTTCTTTTAATTTCTCTAAGTTCAACAACATAGTGACAAACACAGACAATTCTCCTGTTACATCGGAGCTCCACTGCATACACACCACTCAATGCTGATTCACAGGCCAGGCCCTCACTGCTGGGAATGGGGGGGAGGGGAGGAGAATATAGTAATGGGAATCTGTTTCCTGGGGCTGGGAGAGATCACGCTGCATGGAACAAGCCCATCAGATCTGGAACCTACATGGAACACAGATCTGACCTACAGCAGGTAGCTTTGCCATCATCTGTGATTCCAGGAAACAAGGGGGCTAATTCTCCTGTAATTGAGCACACTGTAAATCAGGAGTAACTCCCCTGCAGTCCTTGGAATTAAGCTATTCATTGCTCACAAAGGCCAAAGGGTGCAGTTCATGTGGGAGTTTCCAGGTGACACACCCATTCAGCTGTGGACACACACTGTGGCATAAGCACTACCTCAGCTGTAAGCAGGCTGGAATGGATATGCAAAGCAAACATACATCTTGCACCAATCTGGTGCTCAGTAGGGGGGTGCAAAAGGATGACATGAGCTTACAGTAGACCTCTTATGTTACCCTACCCTCCTCTAAAGGCTTTTTCTGCTGCACCCCTCTCACCCCGTGCCTGGAAGTGACACAGCTGCTGCTTACGCAGATTTCTGATCCACTTCTACACATGGGATGCGGGGCTGCGTGAGCACATCTGAGACTGGGAGCATTTGGGACTGTGACATGCAGGCTACAATCCCACCCCACTTACTCTGAGCACAGGTGTGGCTGCTGGTCTTGCGGAAGCCTGTGGGGCAGGCACAGGTGTAATCCTTGCTGTTTGGCAAACACAGGTGAGTGCAGCCCCCATTGTTGGCCCCACAGCGGTTTTTCCCTGCTCAAATAGCCAAAAACAAAAACAACCACGCATAAGGCAACCAGTAAAGAGAGCAAGAGACATAGCAGGGGTGAGGGCAGGTGGGAAGGGCAGAGAGGGACACGTAGGCGCACACGCAAGAGCTGGGAAATGTTCTACTTTGGGGTAGCTATTTGGACCTCCTTCCCATTCACGTAGACCAGCCCCGCAGGGACATGGGCACAAACGGCTTGTCTACATAGGAAAATTATTCTGGAATAAGGTAGGGAGTGAATTTAGAGTGGTGTAACTATTTCAGAATAACTTGTGTGTAGACAAGCCCTAAACTAGTGGTCCCCAAACTTTTTTGGTCGCATTCTCCCCTTTCCTGGTACACATCCCCCCGCCAGGAGCTGCACTTGGGGCTGGGAGCCATAGTCAGGGCTGGGAGCCATGGTTGGGAGCAGGGCCAGTGCTGCAGCTGAGGTTGCGGCCGGGAACAGGGGTGCGGTTGAGGCTGGGAGCCGTGGGCCTCCGTCGTGAGCAGAGCTGTGGCCGGGAGCAAGGCCGCAGTCGGAGCTGCAACTGGGGCCAGGAGCAGGGCTGCGGTCAGAACTGCGCCGTGGCCAGGAGTGGAACTGTGATCAGGAGCCAGTGGCTGGGGGTGGTGCCAGAGTGGAGCTGGGAGCAGGGCGGGGCTGGCCCAGGCCCCACTGCACCCCCCCGAACATTCCTCCGCACTCCCCTAGGGGGGTACACCTCACAGTTTGGGGATCACTGCCCTAAACATTCACGATCAGAAAGCAACTGTCCCCCTGTGCCAGCGGGGGAGAGAGGGGGGGAGGAGAAGGGGCGGTTGTGGTACACCCATCCAACAACTGGAGAAAGAGCCTTGAAAAAACATCAAACCAAAAGTTGCTGGATGGAGAAATTAGTGCTGGACTCTGGTAGCAGAGGTAAGCTTGGGGTCGTGCATGGGCCTCACAGGGGAGATAGTGAGTAATAGATAGAACAGTATCCCTGAGTCCCAGGCCTGGACTCTCCCTGCCATAGAAGCTGGGCAGTGACAGGTCCCCAGCTGGTTGGCTTTCCCTCTGCAGATGTATCTCCCTGCCCCCTCTGCAGTTACCTGCTGGCTGGCGCTGAGGGTGCAGTGTGTGGATGTCCATGGGGAAGTGGAGCTTGTTGCGGATGATCTCCTGGTTCTTGCCGGTGAATTTGTTGGCACTATTGATGCTCTTGGTGTGCCAGTCCGTCCAGTACAGGCTATCCTCAAACACTGTGATAGCAAAGGGGTGTGGGAGGCCTGCAGCAAGAGTCCAGCACAGACATACAGGTTAATTCAGACCCCAGGAGCCAGACTAGCAGAAAAGCAGAAGAAAGCCCCTGAGCCTGTCCCTCTGGGGCGCTCCTGCACACCCAGGGGTCTCTGACCCTAACAGACTCAGCAGAGCCAAATCCAGCGTTCACCAAAAAGAACTTTGCTTCTCTTCAAGGGCTGGGAGGAGAGGAGCAGAGCCTGTCCCCAAGGGATGGGAGAAGTATGGCAGACTCACTCCATGGTGGTGTTTGGGGAGTTGGGGGAATGGAAAGTAAATGTAGCAGCCCTCATACAGGTTGCTCCAAAGCTCACTCTGTACTGCTATATCTTTCCTGATGCAGCATAGCTCTCCCCACAGCTGAAGCCTAGTTCTCACCTTGGCTGATAACAGCCTTCCTGTTCCGCCCATCCAAGTCAGCCCTCTCAATGACATGGTGCTTGGCATCCACCCAGTACATCCGGTGCCCAGCATAGTCAATGGTCAGCCCGTTGGGCCAGAAGAGGTGCGTATCAGCAATGATGCGTCGATTGGAGCCATCCATGCTGGAGTATTCAATGCGAGGTGTGTTGCCCCAATCTGTCCAGTAGATGGTGCTAGAGGAGGGAAGGAGAGGCCTGAAGGCTAGGAAATTGAGGCCCTAAGAATGGCACCAGGCATCACTTCACAGCAAGGGAGAGAACAAGCTGGCTCTGTAACCTCAAGCCATGGGACTGGGTCTCAGTCACAGGGGAAGCGAGAGCAGCCCCAGCCTGCCATGCAACACTCTTTGGATTCAATTTGCAGTGACCCAAGGAAAGGGCAAGCATTTCCCTGGATGCATCCTGGCCTGGAGCCTCCTGCTTCGTAAGGCTCCCTAACCCTGTGATCAAAGGCAATACTGTGTGCACAGAGGAGGCCCTGGGCCAGGAAACAAGGAGAAGTCTAGATCAAGGATAGGGCCCTCACTGCTCAGTCCCATGTATTTGGAACAGTACTTAATTTGTAAAGAAAGAGGTGCCGGGGCTCAACCAATTAGGTGCCAGGGCTCAAGCAATTTTTTTACTCTCATAACTGACGCGACAAGCCCAGAGATGCCAGGGCTATGAACTTCCAAGCCTAGAGGTGTCGGTGTCAGCCCTGGCACAAATTAAGCACTGATTTGGAGGGTTCCCCCAATAGAGGAGTTAGTGGAGCCCCATGCCCCCACTCACCCCTCCATGGGGTGGAGCGCAATTGCTCGTGGTTTCTCCAGGTTCTCCCACAGAAGCACCTTTCTGTGCGTGCCATCCAGATTTGCCACTTCAATCCGAGACGTCCCAGAGTCTGTCCAGTACAGCTTGTCATGGATCCAGTCAATGGCAAGTCCACCTAGCCAAGGGGAAGAATTAATCACAGACCAAAACCAAGAAGGGCAGATTATGCTGCTAGGAACAATTCCTCTTCTCCTTCAATCCCTCAGGCCAAGCCTCAAACTCCAGGAGGAGAGTACCCTCCACCATCCCCATTCAAGGAGAGCCATACACAAGGGACACATCCCAGCTGTCTCTCTCTTCCTCCACTCCCACATTGTGTGGTCTGGTCAACTTCCCATGCCTTTGCCCTGATTGCTGGCCACACACCTGGGCTCTCCAGCCCTGTGGACACCACCTCCTCTACGTTGCTGCCATTGAGGTTGGCCCTCATGATGCGGTCCAGTGTGACATCAGACCAGAACACTAGCTCCTTGCTGTGGTGGAAATCAAGGGCAATGGCATTCTCCAGGTTGTTCAGGAGCAAGGTGTACTCCGAGCGGTGAGGCAGCACCTGCCGGATGTCAATCCGATTGGCAAAGAGCAGCACTGGCTCTGGCCCTGAGGGACACACAGAAGAGAGCATGAGGAGAACCTGACATGGTCACTCCCTGAGCCAACTGATGGGTGTAAAGGACTGGGAAGAGGAGACAAGGTGAGTGTTCCCACTAATGACACTGGGATGGGCAGCTTTGAAGCACTTTGCAAATGCTCACCAAGAGCTGATCAACCCCATCCCCTGCCTGAGCGTCTCACATCAGCCCCATCAGCCATTCCCCCAGACACAAGCACCTGACATCACAAGCATATGGTGTACTCCGCCCTCCCCCTCTACAACACAGCTTGCAGTCTGAAAGGACAGGTGAGACAACAGTTACAGTCAGTCCTAGACAGCCAGAGCAAGCTTAGCAGAGAGGGGCTGCCTTTTTTGTTTCTTTTTTTGGTTTTGTCTTGTAAGTAGGTGTACAACAGCACTTGCTGAGCTATGCTACATTAGGGGAGCTAAGGAATCAAGCTAAGGCGAAAACAATGTGTGTCTTTAAAAGCACACGGTGTCCACACTCAGAGAATGAAATATGCAAACATAAAGCAGAGTCTTGCCAATACAGAATCAGTGATCATGAGTCTGTTTCTATTTCTGGTTACAAAGCACAATCCAAACCCATAGAGGAGCGACTGTGCAACCAGCATGACAGAGAAATTCTTTCTGCTGCAGGGTCTGGGACACAAGAGAGCCAGAAGGAGAGGAGCTGGGCTTGACTCTAGCGGAGAGAGAGTTGTGGCACTACACAGCTACCAACCACTGGGCAGTAAACCCGGAGGGTGAATCTCTGTCCTAGGCAGATCATACCATCTCTGACACAGACTTGAGAGCCCTACCTCTCTTACATATTGGTAGGACCTATCCACCTAGCCAGGTTAACAAAGAATTACTGAACTGAGTTACCAGAGTATGCACACGCATGCACACACTCTAGAGCTGATAGTTCCTTCTTACCCAAAGCTTTGCAGCTGCGCTTGTCCGGGCGAAGCTCATAGCCTTGCTCACACCAGCACTGGAAGCCACCCTCACTGTTGGTGCAGCCCTGGCTGCAGTAACCCTCCTCAGCACATTCATTCACATCTACAAAAGGGCAAGGGAACAAAGTTACAATTTAGGTCACCAAGATCCCACCCCTACCAGGAGCTGTCCACATCTCCCTGCTGCTCTGTCTCTATGTCCGTATTCCAACTTCCATACCTGTCATAGACCTCCAGCTGCAAGTACCTTATTGCTGCAGTGAGGAGAGATGGAATGACTGACCCTGCCTGCTCACCTTGACATGATCGGCCGTCCTCCAGCAGCCTGTAACCTGTGTGGCAGGTGCACTGCACCGTCCCTCGCACCATCTGGCACTTCTGGGCACAGCCCCCATTGTTAAGATTGCAGTTCTCCTCACCTGTCCGTGGACCTGTAGGGGCAGCATCGTGTAAAGAGAACAGAGATGAGACAAGGCAGCTGCTATTATGCACAGCTGTTAGACAGCAGCAGGCTTGTGGAAAAGGCTAACCCTGAAGGGAGGAGACACGTCCTGCAGAAGGCTGCATCCCCTTAGGTGGCAGCAACATTCCACTCAGACAAAGGGTAACAACTCCTCCCAAGATCTGTGCATTGACAGATGGAGCAGGAACCTTTGGGATTCACTCTCTGAAAAAACATTCATCTGTTTGACAGCACAGGATTGATCTTCCTATTGCTCCCCCCACTCCCTCCTCTAAGCCTGCACATCAATCACCCCCGAGACCATTGCTGGGGTCTCTTCCTCATAACTCCTATTAAGATCACTAGGATCGCTTTCCCTAGGCACATGGCTCTCAATAACATCACGGGGGTTGACCCCCACCTTACCCAGCTCAACCATGAGGCGCTGGGAATGGGGAGACTTACGGCAGTTTTGGTGGGGACTCTCGTCGCTGCCATCTCCACAGTCGTTCACACCGTTGCACAGCTTCCTCTGGCCAATACAGCGCCCGTTCCCACAAAGGAACTGGTCAGGGGCACACTGGGGACTCCCTGTGGGGGCAGAAGGGAAGTCACATACCCAGAACTAGGATTCAAACAAGATCAGCTCAGCAGAGGTTTGCTGCACAGGACAGCAAGTCCCACGGCAGAAAGAAGAAAAGAGGAGTGCATAGTCCCCTTACCCCTTGGCTGTGCTATGTTACTGCATCTCCATCACATTCATTACAGTCTTCTCTTTTGGAATTAGATTGAACCTATTGTTTTATGTTTCTGTGGATCCTGGGAAAGCAGCTTAGGTTCACTTTACACTCCCCACTACTGCCTCCTCCCTTGTGTTGCTTCAGAGGACCTCAGAGTCCCCTCCAGACTGTGCCAAGTATTACTCTATGAAGAAGTCCAGATATTTTATTTCTCTCAGATTGAGTGCAAGATCATGGTTTAATTCCTGTTAGTGCCAGATTCCACAAGCGTCCTGGGCCCCTTCTCAACATGTGTCCGAAGAGCTAGCCTGCACGCTTTCCTCCCACTTTAATCATGTGAGATGTCACCCTAATGCAATCTTACGTTTGTCAAAAACAGTTTTACCCTGTTCTAGATGGAAAGCTCTTTGATGGATTTGGACTAGGGTTTACACAAAGCCTTGAAAAGTCATCTGTGGAAAGAGGATTTCACAAGTGAGCCACACACTTCAGTTTCTGCTGATGGCAGGGAGACGCTGTGCAGTTTTATCCAGGACCTTCCTTTCTCCTTTTATTATCTGAAATTAATTTTTACTATAAAAGAGCACTATATAAAATGGGATCATCTTAATCATCAGAGGCAGATCTGATGAGCCAAGTTACTAAAATATGTTGTGACTGCTGTTTACTCCAGTTAGCCTTGCAGAACCAACCCAGCTCAGAGGGAGGGAGCTGGAACCGATTCCTTCTTGTAAATCATCAGCATAATTGGTTATGGTAACACCTGTGCAAAACCATGAAAGGCAATGGGGCTCTACAGATGTACTGATGAAATAATTTGGCCTCCAGAACCTTTATTACAAGTGATGTGTGAGAAGAAAAAAAATCAAGAGACTATGGTGATGGGCACCAATACAAGGTCCAGATAGAGACACAAACCTGGAATCCAACAATATATTTACAGAGTCGCTTTTCAGAGCAGAGCCACAGTTTAAATGAGCCATTTTGACATCTGAAACTTGTTCATTATAACTGACAGAAAGATGCCATATTATTTCTGGATTTGTGATTTCAAATAGCTGACTAGACAGACTAAAGCAACACCAACTGATCAGTTTTGTCGCACTGGCAATTACATGTCTAGAAGGTGCTTGTGTCCTAAGTTTTTTTCATAGCTGGTAAGACTAATTCTCCACTGAGCCAAATTTCAGCACCAGTTTTGGACTCTTAAATGTCAACTTTACTATAAGTCGCTGAACATTAGGTAACATTCCTGGCCAGACAAATCCTCAGACATTTTACAGTGTGTGTTGTGACAGACCCAGACCAGTGGGGTACAGGAGTCTGGTAAAGGGCAAATATACTGGTCACTGGATGAGTAGTTTCTGTTCCCTGAGTGACCAGAGCAGGGGCTGCACTAGAGTAATCAGGAACCTGCTAGAACCAGTTAAGGCAGGCAGGCTAATTAGGACACCTGGAGCCAATTAAGAAGAAGCTGCTAGAATCAATTAAGGCAGGCTAATCAGGGCACCTGGGTTTTAAAAGGAGCTCACTTCAGTTTGTGGTGTGAGTGTGAGGAGCTGGGAGCAAGAGGCACAAGGAGCTGAGAGTGAGA